TGACCACTGACATGAGTGAGCAGCAAAAGAAGAGAAAACCTGAAACAAACATGAAAAGAGAGAATGAACACCAGAGAATGAATGATATGAATGAAAGATGAAAAATGGTTCACACCTGAACGTCCGCGACAAGATGAATCAGATGAAATTGAGTTGAGCAATGAGAGACAAGTAGAAGTATGAAAACTTGAATGAAGAAAGGAAATACAACTGAATGAAATGAAGTTGAAATGGTCCCATCTACATTGGGTTTCAGCCTTGTCTATCACCATTGCACAGTCCCTGTTCCCTCTGTCATGCGCAGTGATTCAGATAGTGAGCATCTGTACCTGTGACATGTCAATATTTCAGGAAGTCTTTCTTTGGGAAGATGGGCAAATATTCCTCCTAGAAATCCTTTTTGGCTGCTGCACTTTGCGCATCAACAGAAGAGACCTCTACAAAAAAAATCACCTACAATCTCAGAAAGTCAAAGTCTGCCCCAAGTGGCCTAGTTGGGGGTCTTCTGTAGTTTCTCTTCACTGTCTTTCAGGTAGGAATGCATTGCAGAAAAACAATTTAAAATGGTAAAAACACAAAAAAACCTGTTTGATTAAGAGGATGAAAAAGACTGTAGGAAAAGGTTGTCTGGATGAAATTCACTCTAACCAACAAATGTTAGAGCAAGGTAAAGTGAGACTAAGGAAAGGAAGAATTCAACCTGCTTTCTCCAATACATCCTGACTGTTTATCATGAGATATTCATATGCATAGGGTTAAGGTACTTAACAATAATCCAGAATGTTGCTGAAATATGGTATGCTAAGTTTCCTCAGTGTTACTATCCTGAATGCAGAAATTTCATGAACCAAATACATGAGCAAAAAAAAAGTGTCAAAATGAAGAAAAATGAATTTTGGCTTGGTTTGGCTCAGTTGAAGTTTTAAACAGGTGATTTGATTTTCTACTTCTTTCAATTTTTTACCTTTTTTTTCAATTTGTTTGTCTCAGTCAAACAGGACTTGTGTTCTTATTCTGGTCGTCGGCGCCACATTTGGAAAAGGGCGCGCCCTCGGGCGCGCCAAAAGGCGCCAAAAAATGGCGCCTTTGGCAGGGGGCGCGCCGGGCGCGCCGGGGCGCCATTGCCGGTGTGTTTTTAAGGAGAAAATTGGTTTTGTGGATTTTATTTTTTGAATTTTTTTGTGAGGCTATTGATTCTATATAAATTTGATACATAAAACGTGGAATATATTAATATAATATGTATGTAAGGATCAAATTACGAGACCCAGAGATCTTCTGGATCCCACTCGGATTCGTCAGATTTGTTGTCTTCGATTGCATTGATGTCAACAACGTCTTTTCCCCCTGTCATTGTCAAGACTGGAACCAATACCAGCGGTCCAGCATTCTCAGGGGCCACATGAACAGATTTCTCAATCTCTCTGTGCTCTGAAGGCCTCCGGGCCTCCCTGAAAAAGTTAGGGTTAAAGGTGCGCGCCCTACCCTCTTTTTGGGAAAAAGGGCGCGCATGGGTGTGCGGGTGCGGGGCGGGCGCACTTTGGCGCGCACCTGCCACTGGCGCCGACAACCAGAGTTCTTATGTCCCAGAATCATATTTTCCAAGGCAGCTCCAAGAGCAATTTAATGTTTTTTTTTTTTTTCAAACTTGTAAGAATTGGAAGTTGTTCTGGGGGTAGTCCAGTATGCATGACACATATTTTGCCACACTTCTTTGATGAAGTTTGTGAGGGAGAATGTAGTTTTACTTCTCCAATGAGAATCTATGCCAATATAAAAGCTGTCTTGAGGTTACATCAAGAAAGTTGTGCTGACACATGTTACCCTTTCATCAAATGTCAGAGAACCAGAATCTGTTGTGTGCAATTATTTTTTTTTCTGTACCAATTTGTCTTCCTGGAAATTTTTTTGACCCTTTCAAATATTGGATTTCTCCTCCCAAACACACATATATATGTGACCATCAGGTATGTTTTCAAAAACATGCATTTGTTTAGGATATCAGCTAGTAAGGATCTTGATTCCATGGACCTCTCAAGGAATGTTTGAATGTATTCAAGGTATGCATGCATCTGATTTACTCTGGAAAAAAGAGAAACTTGTTTTTGATGGCATAATTCTCAACCCAGCCACTAAAAGCTCAGGGATTTGGACAACCCATGGAGCCCTGATGGAGAAGACGGATCACTTACCAACTGGGGAAGCTTCTGCAACCTATGGAGTAGTTGAAAATCCAGACCAATCTCACCAGCCAATTTCTCAAGTACAGGACTGCAAGGAATTTTTGATGGATTCTGGTCAATTAGCAAAGCTCCCTTTCTATCAGGTGGAGTCACCTCAAAAACCTAGGAAGAGAGCCATGAATTCAAATGATTTGCCTTCTCAAATGAATTCAAAAACCTCCAAATCAAACCCTGATGCTCAATATTACAATGGTGCTACTGTAAATTCTGATTCAAGTTATGAAGCTTTCATAAATAACCTGGATGAGTTTATAGATTTACCACTTTTGCATTGGAAGAAATCCAGTAGATCAGAGCTGAAAAAAGATAATGTAGGCTATGATTCAATAACCCCTGCTTTACAAGAATATAGTTTCCCACTCACATATGCACCTTTAACAAGTCCTACAAATCAGAGTGAGAGGAAACTTGATGACGCTAAATGGCTTGAGCTGTCTGATGATTTTTGGTCAAATGAAAACATCTTCCAAGATCTTGACCCAGTTGTGAATGACAATTCAATAAAAACATCAAATCAGAGGGATTTCAAGAGACTTAACCTTCAATCCTTGCCAATAGGGACACAGGAAACAGACCAAAAAGCATACCAAATGACTGGCAGGCTTCCTAATGGTTTTCCTCAAATTAAGAACAAAATGGATGAAAAAGCCAATACTGAGGCTGAAATAGAGCCAAGTCAAATTTTCTGGAAATATTATTCCTCTCAGGCTTTGAAGTGGATTCCAACCAAAGTCAGTCAGAAAGCATCTCTTGGTGCACATGCCCTTTCAAAACAGCTCCTTCAAAGTGAAATGAAACCACCCATCAAGAAACGTCTGCAAGCAATGCATGACTCAAATGGGATACTCATTCCGTTCACCTACAACTTGCTTCTGAAAGGATTATCAATAGGCAACTGGAGGAGAATCAAGGAGGTCTGGGAGATCTTCTGGGGATATTGGGCTCAATTGCAGAATGACAAATCAGATCAAGAAATCCTCAGGAGCTTTGTTTGGATCTCTGATTATATTTCAGAGACAGCAAACCTCAATTTATTTGAATCATATTGGAACAACAAAACACAAAGCTCCCCACTCATCTCCACAAACTGTCATGCTGCAATGATCAGAATGTTATCTGCAGGAAAACTTTTCCACATGCAATTAACTCCTGATGTGTTCAAAGCTTGCAAAGGAATCGTAAATAGTTGCCTGCATGAAAACTCAATTATACATTTGAAAGATCTGAGTCCTTGCAAGCAGCTTGAAATTCATCACTTTGTTTTAGAGAGATTCAGAGAAATGAGTCTTTTAATAACCTCACAAGTCCCATCTGAAATCCTGAGCTGTTTCCAAAATCTATACCAGAGAAGGGGATCTTCTTACACAGAATACATGACCAACATTATGTTTCACAGCAAGAAAATTACTGGCTACAGATTGCGCAAGAAATTACCAAAAGGATTTGCACTCAGATTTGATGAGATTTTGGCTGAAGAAAACACCCCAGGATCTTACATTGGGTATTCCCCAAAGGAAATCAAACAGCACAATTTCCCAGAGGTTTTTATTCAGAAGATGGAAAGATATGTTGGCAAACCTGAACAGAACACACATGGAGAATACAAATTCCTGCCTGCAAGGATAAGAGAATTTTTATTTGAAATTGGTGATCATGAAGAAAGCAGGTGAAAGTCTACTCCATCTGAATAGATTATTGGCATTCCCTTTGATCTGGGTAATTATCGTTGGTAAAGCTTTTTTAAAAAAAAGGACTTGCAATCAATTCTGCAGCCATTTCAGATGACAGCTTGTTCCTTCTGATCCTCAAAAACCTGGTTGTTTTTCCCTTTCATGACAGTGTTTCAACCAATTTGGCCTTTTCTTGTTCTCTACTTTCAATCATGAAACTGATTGACCGATTCAAAACTGGTTATTTTCCTGATGATACAGTAGTTGATTGATAAATAGTGGGGTAAATACTGCATCGTTGGTGATGAGTGGTTAGTGGGTTTAAAAATTCACCAGTCTGTGGATCAAGGTGAATCAAAGTGCAGTGCTTCCCATTGACAAATGTGGAAACCCATGTATAGGATTTCAAACTATAAATGGAGGACTTCCCGTCGCCTAAATTGCTTGATCTGGAAGGGGGTCCTAAACTGTATTGGCTGGTGAAAACTTGATCTTGATCAATTTTCGCCAGCAAATAACGTTTGGGATGTCCTTCTAAATTTACAGATTTGGACGACGGGAAGTCCTCCAATCCTCAAGAATATTTAAAAGCACATTTATCAGTTTGCTTCAGGCCAGAAGGGTCAAATGAAGAGACTATGGCCAATGAGAAGTGTTGTCGTGTTCTTATAGGATGCTAATGAGTTCTGTCTACACCTCTTGATGATGAAATCTTGAAATGTAATTGATATTTTTTTGTTGTTGCTCACAAGACCGCAGCTTGGATTGTTGTTCATCAATAGGACTTTGAGAGGTTGATGATGAGATGGATGAGAACCAAAGACGGGGAGAATATGTGCAAAGACGAAGTGGGAAGTCTCCACACGCTGCTCAGCCGGTTGCGGCGATGGCCCTACATATAAGGGTCCATGATGGGCTCAGCTTGGCGAAATTGGCATTCTTGACTGAAGCCATGTCGATCTGTATCTGGGCAAAGAACAGGTGCTTGTTGGTAATTGTGGTGCTTGCCCAATCCGGAGTGGAAAGAAACAAGAGGATTATGTATAAAGCGCCAGTCCCAGAGCCCTGGATCAGGAGGCGTTGATTCTGCCGGTGTGCCTCAAATTTTTGTATTTTTCCTTGGAACATCTTCCGAAAACCAACAACTTCACTAACCAGACAGACAGAATCAGCACACACGATCATCCAGCAGATGGACTCACCACCTGGTCGTCGGCAGGGCACAACCACCAAGAAGGCCGTCTCATGGGAGCCGCCCCCACAAAGCAGGATCCTTGTCAAGTGGGCAGCTCTTCTTTAATTTTATTGGAATATCTTTCGATGAACCATTGGGAAATATCAGTCATCTGATACCACCACCCTATATTTCCTCCTTATACTTCCAGCTCGACTCCCTCCGATAGCAGCCCATCAAGCAGTCCTAGACACGAAGAGACTCAGGAGGAATCATATCTCAGTGCACTATTGGCGGAAACCCAAGTACCTCTCGCAGATCTCTCGGAGCTTTCTGAACGACCAAGCAGCCCAATTAGTTCACCCAAGCAACCCACCGATCCTCTATTATCAATCTCCGACAACTTCCCGCCCGACCTGCGCTTCCCAGATGACTCGTCCTACAGCTTGGGCCCGGAGACCCAACAGGCACGTCTATCGATGGAGAAGCATGCGCGCCTCTTTCAGGAAGAGTTTTCCAACGACGATAGCAGCACATCCGTCTTCCGCTTTCCATCCGACCAGCCAGGCCGTGCTCCTGACCAAGCAACTCCTCCTCCCCCAGCCCTCAATCAACCCGTCTTGGACACATCCTCAAGCTCTTCTCATCAACAAAGCATCCCCACCGCAAAAGGGAAAAGTCGGGCCAGTGAAGAAGACGCGCCAGAAAAGGAAGCAGAACGCCCTGAACTCGTCCCTGGAGCCAAGCAAGAGACACAGAAACTTCCAGAAGGTGAACCCAGCCAATCATCATCCGACGGTGGACAGGATGGAGTGATCCCTCTACAAAGTACTTATCAGGAGGAGGGTGCACGTTCCCCTCATCCGCCGGATGTCACAATGGATCTTGCCTTCGGCCAAGCCGACCAGACTAGCCACCTCGAAGACACTCACCACCTCAATGCCGATCAGTCTCCTCTTCCTCCCACCAAACCCCCCCAGATCTTCGGGCCTGATTGGAACTCCGAATCCCAGTCAAGTATTCAAGTCCAATCCACTCCGGCGCCTGTCACCCAATCCAGCAAGAAGAACATGCCCTCTCAGACTAAACCACCCCCAAAACCCGTCCCGGAATCCAGCCCATCTCCCACTCAAGACCCCCCATCTCCGTCCATTGACTCGGCCTCACAAAACCAGAGCAACACGGCTGAAACGAACTCTGCCTCGGTCGATAGACCCGGGGACAAAGCTCAGAAGAGCCAGAATCCTACAACCAATGTCCAGACTGTAGGTTCAGATTCCTCGCAGACCGCATCACCTCGTCCAGCCTCCCAAAAGATCTCTCTCACCGAGCCAACCACTCGGATTGATCCGGGCACTTCAAGCGCCGAAACTACGGCCAGTTTTGATGATACTACGACGGCCAGGGCTCTGCCCAGTGACACACCCGACCACGAACCGACCGATCACTCTGCACCCTCGAATGAACAGTCCAAACAGCTCCCTGGCTCTCAGCGCTCGTCTGCGCATCCTGATGCCCCGTCTGACTCCCACGAAACAGCTCAAGCTTCTCAGTCACAACAGAGCCGCGTCGAAGATCAATCGATTACTGAGAAAACCACTCAAAACGCCTCTTCACTCCGGCCAACTGATTCTCAAAAAAGTCAGCCGACCAGACAAGAAAGCCCTAAAACACCGTCAACCAGTGCCATAGATCCACAAGTGCCGTCTACTGATGTCAACCCTCAATCGCCTACGGATCGTTCCGCATCCTCATCGGCGTTACAAAAGTCGGCACCTGACTCTACCACCGAAAGGGAACCGGAAGAGCCGATGGAGGTCGATGAACAGGTCTCTTCAGGGACGCCAGCAGATCCACTGTCTCAGTCTAGTCGATCTGAAAGAAGCGCGCGTACTGCCCGCAGTGACAAAAGGAAGAGGTCACATTACGAAACGGACCAGGAGACAAACTCGGCGCTTTCGGATATAGAAGAAGAGGGTTCCGGACGCCAGAACAAAAGAGGTTCCCGTCGGGCCCGTGACCACTCATCCTTGCAGGTGGACCCGGGTGTCTCTGGAGAAGAGTCGAGCTCCCTGTCGGCTCCGGTGAACACCAGTCGATCGTCTGACAAGTCGTCCGGATCTGCTAAACGCTCCAATCTCAAATCCGTATCTCGTCGGCCATCCCCTGCGGTCTCTGTCGTCATCCCTCGATTGGATAGGTCCCAGCTGCCCCGGTCCTCTAGATCCAAAACCCCGCGCCCGCCACCACCAGAGCCTCCTTCGGGTACTAACATGCCTCCAGTCTTGTCGGTTCCAAGAGTGTTGGCCTACCGATCAGACTGGCAGGCTTTTGCTCCGGGCCAGGTGAGCTCGGTGACTCCGGACAAAGTGATAGTCCGATACGACGATCAGAGCTCGGAGCCTCGAGATCTCACCCAACTGCGTCTCTGTCACATCCGGGCGGGTGATGTGGTGAAGTACATCGGGACGGACCTCGCAGATGGGGAGTCACAAGTGACGACTGTGCGTGAGCCGAAGCGGGTTCTGCGGGTGGAAAGAGCGGTCGATTCGGTGGGGCCGATCAACTCTCACAACGACCTTTTGGTGACGTGTGATGAGAGTGACTATAAGGCCCAGTCGGGGACATCGGGCGGGTCGAGTCGGCCAGAAGGCCGGTTCCTGGTCGAGGCCATTATGGTCATTCCTCCGGGTTCTCGCCGGCACACTGGGCTGAAGGATCGAGCGCTGCCACAACAGATTATCCAGGAGCTGCGCGAGCACATGAGGGCCCACAGTGGAGTAGGCATGCGTGCCAAGCTTGCGGTCCCCCAGTCAGGCCGGTCCGGCCAGCTCGTCGGGCCCGACCACATCTTCCAGGGCTTCGGCATCCTCCTCACCGGCGCCGCCGTCTCTGCCGTCGAGCCCAAGCCTGCCACACGCAAACGCACCCAATCAAGCTCCTCCTCGCGCGGTCTCATCGAGCAGCAGATCCGCGATCGTCATGGCACCGTCATCGACAAAGTCGCTGAACTGTACGAACTCGATGGCTCCGATCTCGTCCTCCTCAATAAGCCCGGCTCTGGCGCTGCTACCTCTCTCTCGACGCCCTTACTCTCTGGCCTTCCTCCGTCCTACCGGCTCTCCCCTGCGCACAAGCACCTCAAACTGAGGTCCATCCTGCTGGTCGCTGAGGCCCCGGTCAAAACGTTGAAATATCTCTTGGCTCTGGCCTTAGGTATCCCATGTGTATCCGCCAAATGGGTGACCCATAGTTGCGAACAAGTGAGTACATTCCTCTCTCTCCCCCTTTCCTTCTGCCTTGAATTATTATTCTGACATGTGTGGTATGAAGGGACATGCGCTCGATTGGGAGAGATACATGATCGGCCCCGGGCCCTCGATCTTCCTCGGCGGCGTCCCCGCACTCGTTAACCTCCAGATCCCGCTCCTTCGTCGCGCCGATCACGACCTCAAAGCGATCTTCGACGCCCGCGGCTCTCTCGAGATCCTGCAGGGCAAATCGATCATCTACGTTTCTTCGAAGGCTAAGCCGAAGAGCGACGTGAGTACTCTTGCCTTTCTTTTCATATTCATATCTCCATGATTTTTAGCTTGTTGGATAAACTTGTTTCTATCCTTCTTGTGGCACGAAACACAGTGGAACGAGACCGTCAAGCCGATTCTGTGTGCGAGCGGGGCGACGAGGCTGGGCTTTGCGGAGGCGAAAGCGCTGACGGAGCATCTGGAGAGCGGGGCCCTAAGCGGGGTGGATTATCTGCTTTTGGAAGACCATCTGGGGCTGACGAAGCTGCCGACGGCCGTCCGCACACGCTCCAACCAGCTCCCGGCCAAGCGCAGGAAACTCGCCCGGACCGCTTCCGCCTCTAGTCATGTCAGCGACGTCCCCTCTCCCGACTCGTTCAAAGTCGTCGACTTCGAGTGGCTCAAGCAGTCCCTCATTTACGGTCGCGTCCTTCAACCTCAGTTATTCGCTTCCTCTGCTTCGTGAACTTGTACCCTTCTTGTTTATTCCTTTCTTCTTCTTCTTTGAAACAACTGTTCTTGAATCCCGTCTTCTTCTTCTTCCGAGGTCGTCTGATAATACCCTTTGCTCTCTTTAAATCACTTTCAATCATCTCCACCATACACCCTTCTTGGCAAACAAACCAATGTAAATCCAGTTACCAGTTCATCCTCTGCTTTCGGACCAGCACTTATTCTGTATCTCATCATCCCCCATGATCTCTTGATTCGCTTTCTTTTCTTCATCACATCTTGCTTGTTTTTCTATCTGCATCTTGCAGTTTTCATCATACCTCTTCCCTCAAAGCGTTGCAGAAACCCTCTCAGCAAACTTGAAAAAAATAAATAGTGCATTGTTTGAAATAGTGTGAATTATATAACTGTTGATTGGTGTATCTTGAAGCGCACTCCACATGGATTAATCTAAGCTAGAAAGTACATGTACATTTGTAATTAAGGTGGCTTGTTACCCATGCAATCAGAACAATCAAAGAAAACAGGCTTTGTTTTAGGATTACACATGGTCTGATTCTGAAGTTCTTTCCAAGCAGTTCTGGGAGGACTCTTCTACTGAGATACCCTGTAAGCTCTGGGTGTGCTCTTGCAATCACAAGATCTTTGGGAGAGGGGCATACTGAACTGACTATGTTGTTGTTTTTACATTTGTTCACAAGTGGTCCAGCACAAGCTTTTGTACAGAAACCGCACAAGCCATATCTCATATTGGGCAAATAATTTTGCAGGGGGAAGGATACCAAGTGAGGAAGGGAAATCACAGGCAATCATTAAGACTGCAGAAAAAAAAAAGGTTTTCTGCACCGGGTATGTTTTGTCAGCAGAGACAAGTGGCTTGTGAAGACTGGGTTATATTTGTGCGATTTCAGACTTTTCAATGGATTGGATGTACAATCCGGCACCTGTCACAACAGGGCATCTTTTTGGGGATGGGTTTCCCAAGGGGACAGTCTCCGTTGTAAGTAGGGTTTTGTAGATATCCACACTTGGTGCATTTTTCGACCCAAGCTTGACGCTGATAGCCACATGAATGTTCATCTCCACAATGATTACAGACATATTTATCGCGGCAGAGCATTAAATCTGGAGCCGGTTTCCATGATGGGTGCTCGCAACTTGCCTGCTCAGCCACCATATTTGGACGATAGCTCCATGCAGGACTTGTTGAAGCCAGGACCAGGCATGGAATGCCGGCCAGTATCAGCATCCCCTTGTTGATGAGCATTGAAGCAGGTAGATGTGTGTGATGATTCTGTCTTGACAGAGAGTTGAACCAAGGAGGTTTGCTGAAACGGCTTTTCAGAAAAAGGGCAGGTCAAACTAACTACCCTATGTTGCCAGTGTCTATGTCCTGAGAATAGGGGTATAAATAGCCAAGAAAAGAGCCCCAAAGGCAAGGACCCTGGGAATAGGGCTTAGCAGTTGTCTAGTGTATCTTAGAGCCCACTCCAAGCATATTCATTCCAGCCAGAAGGTAATTTGTAACCCAAGTGGCTTGTTTCCTCCCCCCTCCGTGCCCCATATAAGAAACATCATCCTCCCAACCAATCAGAAAACAGAACTTATTACATTATGGATGTTCTAATTCTGAAGTTCTTTCCAAGCTGTTCTAGGAGTATTCTTTCACCCGGATACCCTAGCTTGTGGTTTACTATTCTATACACTTGATTCCAGACCTCCGTCAGGGTTCACTTGTCATACTCAACCAATTCTGGTGTTGTTGTATAGATATAATGACAGTTTGTCTAGACATGGTAGCACACAACCTCTTGTACAAAAAAAAAGTGCATGTCTTATCCCATATGATGATCCTATATTTGTATGGGGCAAGAAATTTTCCCTTACATGCAGCAGTGGGAGGAGACCAAATGAGTGGTTCAGGCAGTAAAAGACTACCAATGCCATAGAAAAAAAGGTTTTTTGTGCACCTTGTATGTTTTTTCAGCGGTGTGGGTGTATCAGACAGTTATTTGTACC